CGGCCCTGGTCAGTGGCCATAGAAACCCCTGGGGGCGACGGGGACGGGGCAGGCGGGGAGGGGAAGGCTCTGGAAAATAGCAAAGGCCAGTTTGGGAGATACTGGCTGACAGGGAAGATAAGGGTTCGGAGGGAACGTGTCCCTCGACTGGACGTAAACAGGAAAAGCGGCTGAGAGGGACGGAGGGGGGGAAGGGGGAAAAGACACCCTGAGCAGCGCTTCCCTGCCAAAGGAAGTGTGCAGCACTTTCAATCAGCCCAGATTGCCAGGGTTTAAAGGATTTGCAGGGGACCCGGGGTCACGGGGGACCAGGATGGAGCAGAAGGCCCCAGCTGGGCTGTCCCGGGGCGCTGGGGAAGCCCAGAGCCTCCCCAGGGCTGGCAGCAGCCCAGGGCAGGGGACGGGATTAGGGGGGTCTTGGGCCACCCGTCATTTTGGAGGGGTTGTCAGTGGGTGCTTGTGCCTGTGCAGGAGCCACCTGCGAGGACGTGCTGGCCCCCTGCGCTGGCAGCCCCTGCAAGAACGGCGGCGAGTGCCGGGAGTCGGAAGACTACGAGAGCTTCTCCTGCAGTTGCCCCTCTGGTTGGCAAGGTAGGGGCATGGCCCATCTCGGGGTTCAGCACACCCCACTCTCCTCGGCTGCTCAGGGACCGAAGGATGGAGGGGAGGGAGCGTGGCTGGGGAGCCGCGGGCAGGTGGGTGCCTGCGTGCCCTGCCAGACGGGAGCAGCTCTGCACGGTGTCTGGCCTCGGGGGGTCCTGACCTGCCCCACGGCTCAGCCAGGTGGACGGGATGCGGCCATCACCCTCACCCCTTGGTGAGGGCCGTTTGCTTGCGAGGGGTCCCACCCCGGCACAAGCGGTGCCCAAGACGTCATCGTTACCCCCGGGGGCTTTCGCCAGCACCTCCAGCCCTCATGGCCTCTGTCCCGCTCTGTCCCGCAGGTCAGACCTGCGAGATCGACATCAACGAGTGCGTGAAGAGCCCCTGCCGCAACGGGGCCACGTGCCAGAACACCAATGGGAGCTACCGCTGCGCCTGCAGAACCGGCTTCACCGGCCGCAACTGCGACACCGACATCGACGACTGCAAGCCCAGTAAGAGCAGGGGCCGCTCCGCAGACCGCGCTCAGCCTGGCCCCGAGCTCTCAGCCCCATCGCCCCTCCTGGGGCTGGGATCCTCCTCCCCACGCGTGGGCAAGCCCCGGCCGCTGCTTTGGCCTGAGCCACGCTGCAAACCCTGCTCGGGCTTTTGGGCCACCTCAAGCGCGTCCCGGTTGAGCTGCGTCAGTCCAAGGCCAGATGGGAGCTGGCAGGAGGGCGGCTGGGGGGCAGAGGGATGTGCGGGCAGTAAGCAAACGTGTCCCTTGTGCCCAGTCCACCGTTGGGGCTGACCCGGCCTCTGCCTGGTCCATGGGCTCTGTCCCGTCCCTCCATGCGGCCAGGGGACATGTGCGGGGACAGCGCTGTGGGGCTGCTGCAGCAGGGCTGCACCCATTGCATCTTCCCGTGCACGTCCCTCCTCTCCAGATCCATGCCACAATGGTGGCTCCTGCTCCGACGGCGTCGGCACGTTCTTCTGCGAGTGCCTGGCTGGTTTCCGTGGGCCCAAGTGCGAGGAGGACATCAACGAGTGCGCCAGCAACCCCTGCAAGAACGGCGCCAACTGCACCGACTGCGTCAACAGCTACACCTGCACCTGCCCCTCCGGCTTCAGCGGCATCCACTGCGAGAACAACACGCCTGACTGCACGGAGAGGTACAGCCCGGCACGTCTCCTGCCACGGGCCCAGCCTTTGTCGGGGCTGGAGCAAGGGGCTGAGGTCCCTGCGCTGCCCCGTAGCCCTGGGCTAGTTTGGAGGGGCTTCGGCATGGAGCGTGACCGGTGGTGATTCACCGGGACGTGATGTCTGTGTTTCCAGCTCCTGCTTCAACGGTGGGACCTGCGTGGATGGCATCAACACCTTCACCTGCGTCTGTCCACCTGGCTTCACGGGCAGCTACTGCGAGCATGACATTAACGAGTGCGACTCCAAGCCATGCCTGAACGGGGGCACGTGTCAGGACAGCTACGGGACGTACAAGTGCACTTGTCCCCAGGGATACACCGGCCTCAACTGCCAGGTAGAGGAGCCGTGGGCTGTCGGCCACTGACCCCGGTGCCCGGCCATGCAGTCTGGCCGTGGGGAATTGGGGTGTCACTGCAGTCTCCACTCCTGCAGAAGCCCTGCTGGGTCCTGACCCCCCGTCTCGCTCTGTTCCCCCCAGAACCTGGTGCGTTGGTGCGACTCCTCTCCCTGCAAAAACGGAGGCAAGTGCTGGCAGACCAACAACCTCTACCGCTGCGAGTGCAACAGCGGATGGACAGGGCTCTACTGTGATGTCCCCAGTGTCTCCTGCGAGGTGGCTGCTAAGCAGCAAGGTAAGTCCCTGCCATGTGTATGGCCTCACAGCGCCAGCGTGGGGTCCCCCGGTGCCCCCCGTGCTGGACTGTGAGTGGGGACATGCACACTTCTCTTGGTGGGGATCTTTGGCACAACCAGAGCGATCTGGAGGAGTGCTGTAACGCGCACCCTCCCGAGGCTACAGCCCTGGCTACGATCCCCGGTGGGATGTGCGGTGGCCAGGACGTCGGCCCTGCGGTTGCAGGCGTGTCACCGAGGTCCCCGCATCTCACTCTGCTCTTCCCTGGCAGGTATCGATGTAGCACATCTCTGCAGAAATTCGGGGCTCTGTGTGGACACGGGCAACACTCACTTCTGCCGCTGCCAGGCCGGCTACACCGGCAGCTACTGCGAGGAGCAGGTGGATGAGTGCTCCCCCAACCCCTGCCAGAACGGGGCCACCTGCACAGACTACCTGGGAGGTTACTCCTGCGAGGTGGGTGCCGTGGGGGGCAGAGATGCGCAGGGAAAAGGCACCGGTTACTGCCTTTCTGCTGCCCAAGGAGCTGCCCCAGCTTCAGGCTGGCTCGGCGCCCCTCTCCCGAGTTGAAGGTCGGGGTGCTGACTGCGCTCCTGCAGCCCTGTGGGGGTTCAGGGAACCTCCCTGATGGTTCCCTTCTTCCCTCCTTGTAGTGTGTGGCTGGTTATCATGGAGTTAACTGCTCCGAGGAGATCAATGAGTGCTTGTCCCACCCATGCCAGAATGGAGGAACCTGCATCGATCTCATCAATACCTACAAATGCTCCTGCCCCAGAGGAACTCAAGGTAAATTAATTCCCCAGGCTGGGGCATTAGTGGGCTGAGTGCGGATATCCTCGGTAGCTGCTCATTAGCTGCTCGGGCTAGCGGCAGCAAACGCAGGGGTAGAGGTTTGTGTTTGCTTGCGAGCTTAGCCATCAAGGCCACGCAACCTTGGGCGCAGGCTGCGCGGTGCTGCGTGCCTCCTGCCGGAGCGGCGGCTCAGACTGCCATTGAGTTGGTCAGGCTCAGCCCCTTCGCAGGGAAGGTTGACACAAGGGACCACCGGGCACCCCGATACTGTTTGATGAGCTGTGTGGGTTGTTCCCCCGTTTCTCTAGGGGTGCACTGTGAGATCAATGTGGATGACTGCAGCCCTTTCTTTGATCCTGTCACCCTGGGGCCCAAGTGCTTTAACAATGGCAAGTGCACGGATCGGGTAGGTGGCTACAGCTGCATCTGCCCCCCTGGCTTTGTAGGGGAGCGCTGCGAGGGAGACGTCAACGAGTGCCTGTCCAACCCCTGCGACGCCCGCGGCACCCAGAACTGCGTGCAGCGGGTCAATGACTACAAATGCGAGTGCCGACCTGGCTACGCAGGTGAGCGCTGCGTCCCCCCTGCTCCCAGCACCCGGCCCCGCAGCCCCCAGCCACCCCGAGCATCTCGCACCCCTTCCTCTTCTCCTCACGCGCTCCTCTCCCTCGGCAGGCCGTCGCTGCGACACCGTGGTGGACGGCTGTAAAGGCAAACCCTGCAGGAACGGTGGAACGTGCGCGGTTGCCAGCAACACCGGCCGTGGCTTCATCTGCAAATGCCCCCCGGTAGGTTCCTGCTCCTCTCCAGCTCTGAGCACGGGATGTTGCACGGGCCCTGCAGGTCGGCCCCGCGCACGGAGGGGCAGTCGAGGGGCCAGTTTAGCCCCTGAGGCTTCCCCGGCTCGGACAACCAGGGATAAGCATGGAGGGGAAGATGCTTTGCTGTGGCTGCTCGCGGGAGGGAGCTGTATCCGTATACACATACCCTCCTCACTTGCAGGGAGACTGGGGTAGGGTCAGGGAGAAGGAGGTGGCTCAGCCCTGCGGGTGTGATGCACAGCTCTGTAGGACAGACCCTTCCCTGGTTGGCCATTACACCACGTGAAGGTGGAGCAGGCAGCTATGGAGAAGAGCTCCCTTCATTTTGAGGGGCTGCTGTAAAGAGGTTTACGTTCTAGATTATTCTTTCCCATCCCTGGAGGTGTTTAAAAAAAGGGTAGAGGTGGTACTTGGGGACATGGTTTAGAAGTGGTTTTGTCAGGTTAGGTTGATGGTTGGACTTGGTGATCTTAAAGGTCCCTTCCAACCTCAGCAATGCTATGAGTCCATGATTCTATCACTAGTTTCAGAGGACGTGCCAGAGCCATGCCCTAGGTACATCGCTCTGATTCACTGGCTTTGTGCTGAGTTTCCCAGAGCACACACGTGTGTCAGGCTCCTCACAGGACAGCAGCAGTGATTCTGACTCCCTCTTTGCTGTCACCTCCCCAGGGCTTCGTGGGTGCCACCTGCGAGAACGACTCCCGCACCTGTGGGAACCTCCACTGCCTGAATGGTGGCACCTGTATCTCCATCCACAAGAGCTCCAAGTGCATGTGCACGCCGGCCTTCACGGGTCCCGAGTGCCAGTACCCGGCCAGCAGCCCCTGCACATCCAACCCCTGCTACAACGGGGGCACCTGCGAGTTCTTCAGCGATGCCTCCCCCTACTACCGGTGCAACTGCCCGGCCAACTTCAACGGCCTCAACTGCCACATCCTTGACTTTGATTTCCAAGGTGGGATCGGGCAGGATATCATCCCACCCAAAATTGAGGAGAAGTGCGAGATTGCGGTTTGCGCGGGGTATGCCGGCAACAAGATCTGCGATGCGAAATGCAACAACCATGCCTGCGGCTGGGACGGGGGCGACTGCTCCCTCAATTTCAACGACCCCTGGAAGAACTGCTCCCAGTCGCTGCAGTGCTGGAAGTACTTCAACGATGGCAAGTGCGACTCTCAGTGCAATAACGCTGGCTGCCTGTACGATGGATTTGACTGCCAGAAATACGAAGGGCAGTGCAAGTAAGTGGCTTGCTCATTGAGCCTCTTGTTTTAAAGCCATCACCTCTGTGCCGATCATCTGGGGGTATTTTCTGGTTGCATCTGCTAAAGCTCCTAAGTGCAGACCTGTTGTTCGCTCTCTGCCTTCTGTTCTGCTGCCTGTGGGGCTGCAGCTCAAGCAGCCACACTTCCCTGTGGCCTTACTGAGTTTGTATACACTTGGAAGCTCTCTGGGTTTGGCTCATTCCAGACGGCTTCCCTGTCCTTGCCTGTATCACGGCCACAGAAGTGAATTCTCCAACTCACAGTAGTAACACAGTGAGTTTCAGTGTAGGGAGACCCCAGATGGAAGAGCAGCCAGAAAATATGATGATGTTAACATCCAAGCATTTACCAAACATTGTCTTTGGCAACAGCGGGAACTTAATCCCAGATTCCTGGATGAACTCTGGGCTGAGTAACTATTCTGTGTCCCTCTGTCTTCTCTGAGTCACAGGAATTTGTCCCTTTTCCTGGCATCTAAATTGCAACTTATAATTTATAACAGCTGCTATCTTTCACCTGCAGAGGCGAATGCTTCACAGCGCTGCATGGAAGAGTTACCTTCTATGTAAACTGGCTTAGTGTCTATCAGGATGAAGAATATTTATACAAAAGAGAGGTCCTTGTGGACCACCGCTTATTTTCGCAGCGGATAGGTAATATGCGCCATACTTGGTCTAATTCATTTTTCTGCCTTTCTTTTTCTTCTGCCCAGTCCTCTGTATGATCAGTACTGCAAGGATCACTTCTCAGATGGTCACTGTGACCAGGGCTGCAATAATTTTGAGTGCGAATGGGATGGTCTGGACTGTGCAAACAACATGCCGGAGAAGCTTGCAGACGGCACGCTGGTGGTGGTGGTCCTCATCACTCCCGAGAACCTGAAGAACAACTCTTTCAACTTCCTGCGGGAGCTGAGCCGCGTGCTGCACACCAACGTGGTCTTCAAGAAGAACCCCAAGGGAGAGTATATGATCTTTCCATACTATGGCAATGAGGAGGAGCTGAAAAAGCATTACATCAAGAGGTCAACAGAGGACTGGTCAGATATGCCTAGTGCTGTCATCAACAAAGTCAAGAGCAGCCTGTACTCCAGGGCTGGCCGAAGGCAGAAGAGAGAGCTCGATCAGATGGATATCAGAGGGTAAGGGGGACCGATGGGCTCCTTTTTGACTGAGCACCGTTTGTTTTCTGCGTTGATAATAGTAGCACGCCATAAAGGGAAGGATGTAGGCCAGATAATTGTATTTAGATGTTGCTTTCTGTGTGAATAGAAACCGGATTTTGCTCTCATGTGGGAAAAGCGAGTGATCGCTCAGGAATCCCTGATACAATGCTGCGCCGACTCTCACGATTGAAGGAGTCCTGTGTATTGTTGGGAGCCGGGGCTGGGCTGGGTGGGACCTGGAAGCAGAGGTTGGCCTGACCGACTGTCTGACTTCAGGAAGTCATTAAGTTAAGCCTCAGTTTCTCCCTGGGAAATGCTTTCTAGAGCTTTGTTGTAAAACTCAATTACTGCAAACTGTGTTTGGAGATCTTTGCTATAAACATATAGATCTAACCTTCTCCCTCTCTGTGGGCTCAATCAAAAGCCACTGAGAGCAAAGGAGTTAGAGCAGCGAAACTGATGTGAAAAGATCTGAAGGCTCCCAAACAGCATGATTCAAGATACTGGAGTGTCTGGGTAATTTTAAAACGTTGTGAAGCAGAGGCTCCCGTCCATTCCTGTAGATAAGGAGTGAGATCTCACAGCATTCATTGAGGCAAATCCCATAGACCGTGAGCGTGAGTTGCAGGGCTCGGGCCACCGGGGAGCAAGGAGATGGGTTCCCACCTTCTGATTCGCACCGATGGGGGGTTAAGGAGGGGAGGGAGACGGGGCTCGTCTGTCTTCTCAGTGTGGTCATTGCTCCGTGGTTCTCATTGACTCTTCTCTCGCACAGATCCATCGTCTACTTGGAAATTGATAACCGCCAGTGCATCCAGTCATCTTCCCAGTGCTTCCAGAGCGCAACCGATGTGGCAGCGTTCCTGGGTGCCTTGGCCTCCCTCGGCAACCTGAACATACCCTACAAAATAGAAGCCGTTAAAAGTAAGTACGGCTGGTTGGCTGGGGAGGAGAGACAGCTAAAACTTTCCGGCCTTATCCATGTTTAGTTACCCATAAGCTCGCTTCATTTGAGCACAGTCTGGTTTTAATAACCTTATATCTTTTTGTTTTTTCCTCTTAAGTCTGCTCTTAAAGAAATTGCAAAACCAGTTTATTATTTTTGCTTATTCCAGGTTTATTTCGAAATCATTATCACTATAAAAGTTATAAAAAAAAAAAAAAAGACAAGAAAAAGAAAACCCAACCAGCTCCGATCAATCAGTGACATGCAAGGAGTTGAAGTTTGTATCTTGAAAATCCCCCCTAAATCCTTTTGTCTTAACAGCTCAATGCAAGCGCAATGATTTGAAGTTTGCTAATCCTTTTCCTTAAAGGAGAAAAAAGTGAAGCTGTCTCCTGATGCAGGCTGGCTTGTGCAGCCGAGAATTTGCCGATAGTTTGCAATTCTGATTAATAGCGTATAAAATGACCTTATTTTGGGGGGGCTGATTTAGATCAGACTTAGGTACCTCTATTAACTAATTTTCCTTCATTTCCACTCTGTCACTGGTTTGCTATGCAGCTTAATGTCTCAGCATCTCTTTGTGCCCCACTGTTTTGTAGGTGAAACAGCTGAGCCCGCGAAGAACTCCCAGCTGTATCCTATGTACGTGGTGGTGGCTGCGCTGGTCTTGCTTGCTTTCATTGGAGTGGGAGTACTGGTGTCTCGTAAGCGGCGCAGGGAGCATGGGCAGCTTTGGTTCCCAGAAGGCTTCAAAGTGACGGAGTCGAGCAAGAAGAAGCGACGAGAACCACTTGGGGAGGATTCTGTTGGACTGAAGTGAGTAATTTGCTTGCTAACCCGTTAAACACAGCGCAGCGGGGCTGCTCGGGGCTCTTCTGAAAGAACCCGTCGGAGTTTCGTTCTCTAGTGCATCGTATTGGCGTAGCGGGGAGGAGAAAAATCAGGTTTCTTTAAGTTCTGCATGGGGAAAACTGTGTTCCCACCTGGAGGAGGTTTTTAAATGCTTCGCAGTACGTTTGTACTTGGTAAAAAATGAAAGGCAAGCGGAGGGGAGATTGCCTTGGTGATTCTTCTTTCAGTTTTCACGTGTAGATAAACACGGTCCGTCACAGACTGGTTCCTGCAGAGGAGCTAATTTTTTGAATGGTTTTATTTTTAAAGACCCCTCAAAAATGCTTCAGACGGCACGCTGATGGATGACAACCAAAATGAGTGGGGTGATGAGGAGACCTTGGACACCAAGAAGTTCAGGGTAAGCTCACTGCCACATTCCCTTGCTGCGCTGCAAGTAGTCACTCACCGGGTTTTGTCATGGACGGAGCAGAGCGCTGCGGAAAGCAGCAGAGCGGAGGGACCCTCGGGGGCCCAGTCTGCGCCGCGCATCGCTGCTGCTGGCTCCTTTGCAAACCCGCGTGTGACAAACGCACCTTTGAGACTTGCAGAGCTTCCCACGCTAGAGCTCAGCCCCCTCCTCCCACCCCGAGTTGTGCGCTTTGCTCGGAGCTCATTTCCCACTGTCGTTCCTCAGTTCGAGGAGCAGGCGATGCTGCCCGACACGGACGATCAGACGGATCACAGGCAGTGGACTCAGCAGCACCTGGATGCCGCCGACCTGCGCATATCCTCCATGGCACCTACTCCGCCGCAGGGGGAGATCGATGCAGACTGTATGGATGTCAACGTCAGAGGTCCCGGTAAGGTGGACTCCTTTCACTTCTGTGCTGCTCATCAGCTCGTCTGAAATCCTCCCTTCCCCCTCGCAGATGAGCAAACCCAGACAGCCCGACCTGTCTCCATTTCTAACACGGAGTCGCTGCTAGCCGTTCTGTTGTGCGTGATTTAGAGATAGACCCTGTCCCATTTTGCTTTCCATGAGATCTCTTTTGTTTAATCACTGAGGTGGAAATGAGAGAATACAGAAGAAGTACCTGTTAAATCATCCAGTTTATCTCTGCCGCTCCTAGATTCCTCTCCTCCCACCAAACTGCACATTTCACATTCTTCTTTTCAGTTTTTTAACTATAATAATATTTATTATGCTTTCACATTATCACAAATATTTGGTCTTCCCCACATCTGCGAAATTGTCCTCTGAAATAATAAAAATATTTAAGGCTGAGCTGTACCGTACTCAAGTTTGCTGAGAGCAACCTTCCTTATAAATTGCACCTTACACGTTAGTGTGCAAGCTAGCAGATGAAATAGGAAAAACAGTGAGTGGTGAGATACCACTAAGGAATTTCAGATCCATATCAGAGGAAGGATATTCGTGTTTGATGTTCAGAACCAGCCAGGAACTCAGTCATGATGCACCCACGAGAATAAGCATCTATCGCAGACAGAGCATCTCGCTGAGCCGCCTGCATTACAGAAGGGTAAAAAGCCTTTTTTCACCGAGTTCCCCTGTGCTTTTCAGACGGCTTCACCCCACTCATGATCGCCTCGTGCAGCGGAGGAGGGCTGGAGACCGGCAATAGCGAAGAGGAAGACGATGCTCCCGCCGTCATCTCGGATTTCATTTACCAAGGCGCCAGCTTACACAACCAGACTGACCGCACCGGCGAGACGGCGCTTCACCTGGCTGCCAGGTACTCCCGCTCGGACGCTGCCAAGCGCCTGCTGGAAGCCAGTGCCGATGCAAACATCCAGGATAACATGGGCAGGACACCCCTCCACGCCGCCGTCTCTGCCGATGCCCAAGGAGTCTTCCAGGTAATTCATCCTTTCGCCGCCGGTCTCGGGGTTTTCTAGGGAAAGTACTGGTGCGATGTGTCGAGTCAGTCACGCAACCGAGCGTATCGCAGGGTCTCCAGCTTGCCCCGGCAAGGTGCGGGGCGAGAGGCTTGCAAACTGAAGCCCGTGTTGACTCAGGGCAGGGCACAGCAAAGCAGCAACCCCATGGCTGCCCTCAGGCGTGCATCCCCAAACTGGGAGTGGGGACTGGAGGGACCAACCTCCGGAAAGGGGTTTGCAGGTCCCGAGACCGGGGTAACTGGTGGGTCCGCTGTCCGTCCCTCCTAACGTTTGTGTTTCCTGTGCTTTGGCCCTCGTTGTGGCAGATCCTGATTAGGAACAGGGCGACCGATCTCGACGCCCGAATGCATGACGGGACCACTCCTCTGATCTTGGCCGCTCGCTTGGCTGTGGAGGGCATGCTGGACGATCTCATCAACTGCCACGCAGACGTCAATGCCGTGGATGATCTAGGTACTGCAGGCAACTAAAACACAGGCTCACTCGGAGGTGGAAGGAAAGGGCTGCTTGCTGTTACTCTTACCTCTCACTAACGCGTGTTGTATTTTGTGGTCTTCCTCTGTAGGCAAATCGGCACTGCACTGGGCAGCTGCTGTGAATAACGTTGAAGCTGCGGTAGTCCTCCTGAAGAATGGTGCCAATAAGGATATGCAGAACAATAAGGTAGGGGTCTCCTGGGCTGGCACAGGCAAGGAAAGAACTATTTGGGGAGTCTGTTAAAGGGTAATTTTTGCCTAAAATACAACACTGTCTGGCACTGAGACTCTGATTTGATTGTTCTGCTGTGAATGAAGTAGTTGGATTTAGCTCAAAGCAGCATTGTGGGATTTGGTCCTACGGGTGATGTTGAGGGGCCGTGCAGTGCTTGGTGAGCAGTGGGATACAGTGTTCGTGTGACCATCTCCTCCCAATGTTCTGGGTCACTCACAGGTTTCCTAGTTTGATACCGGTATAAGGACATGGCTCAGCAGGGTAGGAAAAAGCAGCAGCCAAACCTCACCAGAGGAGAGACAGTCACCCTCTCTGCCACCCAATGGCATGGTGTTGGGTGTGGAGCTCAGGATAGTGTTAGCCAGGAGAATCTGGGAACTTAAACCTAACCATCTTTGCTGGGTTTTCAGGAGGAGACCCCACTGTTCCTCGCAGCCAGAGAAGGGAGCTATGAAACTGCCAAAGTCCTGCTGGACCATTTTGCCAACCGCGACATCACGGACCACATGGACCGGCTCCCGCGGGACATCGCCCAGGAGCGCATGCACCACGACATCGTGAGGCTGCTGGACGAGTACAACCTGGTGCGGAGCCCACCGCTGCACAACGGCCCGCTGGGGGCACCCACGCTGTCCCCACCGCTCTGCTCTCCCAACAGCTACATCGGCAACCTCAAACCTGCCGTCCAGGGCAAGAAGGCCAGGAAGCCGAGTACCAAGGGCCTGAGCTGCAACGGCAAGGACGCCAAAGACCTCAAAGCCCGGAGGAAAAAATCACAAGATGGAAAAGGATGTCTGCTTGACAACTCCAGCGTGTTGTCTCCAGTGGACTCCCTGGAGTCGCCCCATGGGTACCTGTCAGATGTCGCCTCTCCTCCGCTGATGACCTCTCCGTTTCAGCAGTCCCCTTCCATGCCTCTGAATCATCTGCCGGGCATGCCCGATGCCCACATGAGCATCAACCACCTCAACATGGCGGGGAAGCAGGATATGGCCATGGGAAACTCCAGCAGGATGGCCTTCGATTCGGTGCCGCCGCGTCTCTCTCACCTCCCCGTCTCCAGCCCCAGCACAGTGATGAGCAATGCCCCGATGAATTTCTCTGTCGGCGGAGCGGCCGGTCTGAACGGGCAGTGCGACTGGCTCACCAGGCTGCAGAACGGCATGGTCCAGAATCAGTACAACCCCATGAGAGGCAACATGCAACCAGGGGCGCATCAGCAGACGCAAAACCTTCAACATGGCATGATGACCTCCCTGCACAACGGCTTGCCCACCACAAGCTTGTCGCAGATGATGAGCTACCAGGCCATGCCCAGCACCCGGCTGGCGTCCAGAATCCCAACAGTCCCAGAAGGGACAGCAGCGCTCCACGTCTCTGCTCCCTCCTAGAAATATGTGTGGACAATGAACATTTTTTTTAATTTTGATATAATATTTCTGTAATTTCTACATAACCGCACAGTATGTATATATTCAAACAGGGGAAACATTTCCACAAACATGCTTCAGATCAGACCTGTGAAAGTGAGAGGTGCAGCTCTCAGCTAAGCACTTCAGCGGCTCATGCCCTGCAAACGCACTCTGGTGCACTTTATTGCATAGCTTTAATATAACATTCTTCCTCCCCCTAAGAAGTTACCCCTTAAAGCTTCTGCAGTTCTGGTATACAAAAACTCCCTATCCAAAGGCATGCACCATCCCCATCCGTACACATGAACAAGCATACACAAAGGCTTTCAAATTTAGCAGCCTGCCAGCTGGGTTGACAGAAGTAACATATTTATGCTGTTAAACTCTGAAACCACGATCTTGAAAGTTACACAGACCGGTGAGCAGCAGTACCATGGCGGTCCACACGATCCTGCCGCAAGATTCCCAGATGCTGCCCACGTCTCTGCCATCCTCCCTCGCCCAGCCCATGACCACCACGCAGTTTCTAACTCCACCTTCCCAGCACAGTTATTCCTCCCCCTTGGACAACACCCCCAGCCACCAGCTCCAGGTGCCCGACCACCCTTTCCTAACGCCGTCTCCGGAGTCGCCGGACCAGTGGTCCAGCTCGTCCCCTCACTCCAACGTGTCCGACTGGTCTGAGGGCATCTCCAGCCCTCCCACCAGTATGCAGTCACAGCTGGGACACATCCCCGAAGCCTTCAAGTAAAAGACGGTGTTTCAGAGACGCTGGTGCTCAGTGAGAGTTAGAAGCTCGAGGGAGATTTTTTTTAAAAGGACATTGGATGCTTTTATTAAAGGATCCTTTTTAAATATGTTTTTATAAAAAAAAATAAAAAGACGAATTAATTCCTTTTTTTTTTAGTATTTATTTATGTACTTTTTATTTTACATGAAAACACTGCCTTTTTATTTATATGTTCTATTGTTAAGAACTCAATGTGGGAACACCAGTTGTGTTTCAAGAAATCAAAAAATTAGGTTTTTATAGGACGTTCTCTTTTGTTTGGGGGTTGTCGTTGTGTTTGATTTGAGAGGAAATGTTTATGTAAAGCTATAAGCAGCAATTTGTGATTCTGAAATGCCATTAATTTATTTTTTTCTCTTTCAACTCAGAAAGAGAGGTGAGAAAGAAAAGGAGAAGGAAAAATTGACTAAAATACCACTCCTTGGGAGGGGGGAATTAAGTATGGATGGATTTTTGAAGTGTACTTTAAAATGTTTCCTTTGATATCATATCTGAGAGGACATTTTATGGTACCAGTCATGAATCTTTGTTTAAATCTCAGTATTATATAGTTGTACATTTGCCTTGATAATAGAAATTTTTGTTCTCTCTTGTTTTTATATATATAAATATATATATTTAAATGATTTTTATGCTCTTAAAAAAAATCAGGATTATAGACCTGTAAGAACAGGTTCTAAGCTAAAAAAAAAATCCCCTACAAAACATGAATACTGTCCCCCACCAAAAAGAAGTGTATTTGCCAAACTTTTAAGAGAGCAAGCCCCTAACTATGGAGTACATACCAAACCCATAACCGGGGAGTTTATACAAAGGAGACTTAATTTTACTTTCAATATCTTTACTGGGTTTTTTTTTTGTTTTCGTGTTTGCGTTTGAGTAACGGTTTAAGAAGTAAATGCCAATATGAACTTGTAAACCACATCCTTATTTTAAGGATGGCCTGCCTGTTTTACAGAAGGCGTGTCTATTAATGCGGACAACCTGAGTGAGATTACAAAGCATTATTATAACGCTGCCACCACCGAGTGCTCGCCCGTCTCCAGCTCCGCCGGCAGCGCCATTGCTGGGTGCTCAGCGGAAGGCGCTGCCGGGTTTGGTGGGACGCTGGACTGGCTGAACGGGAGGGCGAAGGCCAGCACAGCCGAGTCTGTGCTCCGAAACGTTAACATTTTGTTCTTGTTAGTCTGGAGTGATGCATCTTTTGTTATATTGATGTACCCTCTTTCTGTGTATCATGTAAAGTATAGTATAAGCCTGTGGCAGATTTAATGTTTGTAAATATTTTTTTTTTTAAGAAAAGGTGGATTTTGTTTCAAAAATCTAAATGAGCGAGTCTTAAATTTATCATAAATATATCACCTTATAGAGGTGTTGGAATATCACTCACTCGGGTGCAAAGGCAAGCGGACACCCTCAGATTAGATATGTGTATGGGACAGGCAAATAGAGAGCAGTTAATCAAGAAAACCTAAGAAAAGGGTTCCTTTTCCTCATTCCTTTTTATTAGAACACCAAATAAAATGGATACTTCTCAAGGCACAGCGCCTTGCTGAGCACTCATCTTAGTTAACATTTCAGACCATTGTTATTGTGACATGCCTAATATGAGTGATAAAAACATCACGTGGTGTTGAATCTTCCTATGTTTTATAAACTAGAGTGTAGTTTAAGAAAAGATATCTTCTGTAATAAAGTTATCTACATGCAAAGTTGTAGTTTGCAAAAATGATGTATTTTTTTTTTGGTTAACTGATTTGCAATAAATGATGCTTCTGGGCATCTAGATTTTACTAAAACTGGAACTTAGTGTTTTTGTTACGGATTGGTTGCAGTCTGGGCTCGAGACCCACTGTCGTTCAGTGCTGCAGGGCTGCCTCTCGGCACAGACTACCGCCGCTTTCCTGACGTCTTGTTCTCTGTGTTAAAGCTCGGAGCAGGGCTTTGGACGATGAAACCTTCTCCTTGGGCAAAACTCTCGCCGCCTTGAGCCGTCTGGTTTGAGCAAGGCAGGAGGGGCTCCGCCAAGGTGGTCCTTGTGGATGCTCTGATGTCCCCTCAGGCCTCTGCCATTAGGTCAGGATCTAAAAGGGGAAACATTGAAAAACTGTTTTTAAAGAACGGCACTCACACATGTCCAAAGGGCTGTATTCTGTCACTTTAAAACTTTGCTTTCTGATCAGTGTTTTTAGGAACGTTCTCTGGCTGATGAGACAGCCAAGGGTAAAAAACGGCCACGTGCTTTCAATTACATAGTGCCTATAGAAACAGAGCCCTCTGCAAGTGGTGTTAAGACTTATGTATAGTGTTTCCTACTTCACGCACAGCGCTGAGCATATGGCCGGGCCCTCAGATGTGGCGGCTGTCACAGATAGGAACTGGGCAGCCATCCGCCGAACTGGGCAGCCATCCGCCGGCACCGCCGAGGGGCAGCAGCGCCCGTGGGAAAGTCTCACTAATGCCACTCCGGGCACAAACCCCGCGCAGAAACCTTTGCTGTCCTTGCTGCGCTCAAGATTTTTAAGGTAATTTAATTTAATTCCTTCTCTTCCCTACAGGGACTCTGTAGTCCAAATGCAGCTGCAAAGTCCACAAATAACTGGATATAAATAGCCGAGCTGTGGACCTCCTTCCAAATGAGATAAGCCTGGTAACTCCTGGAATGTTGGTATTTTCCACTCCGTGGCTGGGGAGGGAGCGGGCATGTGTGTGCACGTACCCAGGATCCAGCCCCAGACAGATTCGGGGCCACCAGACGTTTGCCCTACAACCCCTCAGAAGCTGGTGCTGCAGCAGTGGCGTTTGATGTGCCGCCCAGCAGCAGCAGAACTCGGCGCCATCAGAGGTCGGGGAGGCGATGTGCCGCTGCACACTCCCTGCAAACTCCGTGGAAAGGGGTATTTTAACTGCAGACAAATCCCCCATTCCTTTGCAAAATGTGGTTTGCCAGTGAGGATCTCGTTATGTCAAGGGACACCCTGGAGATGGGCTTCCTGAGATGTGCTCTTCCCCCTGGTTGTGTCTCGCTGCATCTCATCTGGGATACGCTAGATGAAGCGTGTCTGCCGTCACCGCGATTCGCACATGTGCTGTCCATGAATCACGTCAGGGAACATCCAGCCACGTTCCCACGCAGCCCATCCTTCCAGGCTTCTCCCACACGTACACGTCCCAGCGCTCGTGCCCATGGCTGGCTGCAAGCATGGCATGCCTCCGGGCTGCCAGCGAGACGGGGAGATGCTCGGGCCAACGTGAGGCATTAGAAAGACTCTCCTATCTGGTCTGGTGTGGAATGCTCCAGTCACTCATGGTCAAGGAGGGAATTCGGCCTGGAATGAGTTAAAAAAAGGGGGTTATGAGGATGCACAAAACAAGGTGGCATTGCAAGAAGCAACTAAACACATTTAAAAGGTGAGGGGCTGCAAGCACGTAGTTTTCCATGAGGATGGGTCAGAGGGACAGAACAAGGGAAGAAGGGAATAAATATCAGAGAAAGAGGCAGAACACGTGAACACGTACTAATAAATTGTCCACAAGGTAATTCAAATTAGAAGTCAGAAAAGGCTTTCTGAGCAGTAGAGGAGTAAGGATAGACAGTCTAAAGTGTTCAGCCCACAATGGCTCTTGAATATATGAAGGTGTCTGGTGACCCACAAACTCCTGCCGGTCCCTTGTTCCTGTTTTCCAGAGTGGGTACTTGAGATGATCATGGGGTCACAGATCCCAGATGGCATCGAGGCAAAGTTAAATGAGAAATGAGAGAAACGGCTGGTTTCAAACCCTCCCTCCATGCTTAGGGCTTTCCCACCAACGCTCTATCCAGAAGGATTTGCCTTCCCCCAGTCCCCTCCAACCAACCCACGGTGTCCAACCACAAGCTCATCTTTACCTCATCTTGGTTGGGAGCCAAATTTTAAGCTCTTATGTCAACAGAAGATGCTGAAGGATGAATGGGTCATGGCAAGCACAGTTGTTTTAGCATTTCAGGTGAAAAATAAGGGCTCCGGGGAGACCTTATAGCGGCCTTACAGTACCGAAAGGGCCCACAGGAGAGCTGGAGAAGGACTTTTTACAGGGGCATGTAGTGATAGGATGAGGGGGAACGGCTTGAAACTGGAAGAAAGGAGATTTAGATGAGATACTCGGAAGAAATTGTTGCCTGGGCGGGTGGTGAGCCCCTGGCGCAGGTTGCCCCGAGAAGCTGTGGCTGCCCCATCCCTGGAGGTGTCCAAGGCCAGGTTGGACGGGGCTTGGAGCAACCTGGGCTGGGGGGAGGTGTCCCTGCCCAGGGCAGGGGGTGGGACTGGATGGTCTTCAAGGTCCCTTCCAACCCAAACCATTCTATGATTCTAAAAAGGCTGAGAAGCGCTAAAATTATATCCCATGCCAAGGGAAGGGTTCAGAAGTGTTTGCGTGAAACAAGATTAGCACGGAGCTGTTCCGATGGCAAGTCTGTTGATGGTATGAGGAATCGGTGCATCTGAACTATTTGTTTACATGCTGGAGGGCTTGGGGTTTTTTTATTCTTTGTTTTCATTATTCCTGCTCAATTAGATGGGACATTTAGAAATTGCTACTCTGTATTGCTTTTTCCTCCAGGCTACTGGTGTTTGCTCAGAAAGTTGCTAACAGCTGCTCCAACCCTGATTGCTGAATTGTTACTACAGCTCCAATCACCCCCTTAAGAATGTACAAAAGGAGCCAAATTCATCTAAGGTGCAGCTTCTCTGGAATTACACACGGGTTAATGTGGCTGGGGTAGTCTGAATAATCACAGCAACTAAATGAGTAAATAAATAAAGCTCAGCTTGTCCAAGCTGGCTACCCTGATACAGAATACCAATACTCATAACCAAAACTCTCCTTTAGCCGTTTTTTCTCTTTCTGAGCTCAGAGAATGATCTTTTCAATGGTGAGCTCCTGGGCCAGGGCTGTGTTTATGGTTGCCTGCAACCTGATGG